CGGGGACGGGGACGGGGCGCGGGGCCGCGAGCAGACTTCGTCGCTTCCCAGCAGATCCCGACCTCCGACGCCGGGTTTGCGCGGGGGGCTGCTGGCGGGCGGTGGAGCCCGGCTCCGGCAGTGCCCGCCCCGCCCCGCCCCGCCCCGGGTAGTTTGCGCACTGCCTAGGGGCGGGGTGTCACCCTTGGCCCTGCTTCCTGAGCCCAGCTGGGACCTGGATACTCCCAGGTCAAAGGTCAAGGGTCCTCGTGGGGGGTGGAGGCAGGGTCAGGCCAGCAGAGGCTCCTCCAGGCTACACCCTCCGTCCTGCGGGAGGGACAGTCTCTGAAGGTAGAGGGTTTCTGATCCCCTCACCGCAGGCCGGGTGTCCAGCCCTGCCGCCCATCCGCGGGGACGCTGGGGAGGACCTGCCCAGCACCCCAGGGATGAGTGGGTGCTGCACCCTGCAGCCTCCACCCTGCAGCCTCCTCCCCCTGCTGCCTCCTCCTCCAGCCCCCCCCCCCAGCCTCCACCCTCCAGCCTCCCCCAGGGCAGTCCTTGGCCTGGGACCTCGGGAGGCCTGGGCTGGTCCTGCCTGGGAGGTGGGCCTTCCCTTCCCCAGCTTTGGTTACTGGCTGTGTAATTCAACCTGTTGACTCCAGTTTCCTTGGTCCATAAAGTGGAGCCCCCCACCCCCCCCTTGGCTCTCCTTCAGTCCTGTCCCCTGTCTTTTAGGCCTGGCCCTCCCTCCACTCCCTTCCCCCTCTGTAACCGCTCCTTCCCTTCACCCACCATCCACTGAGTCTCTGGGCTGGAGCCCCAAGGCCGGGTCCATGAAGTCGCCAGTGAGATCAGACCTCAGCGGTGGGAAGCTGTGAAACTCTACCCCGGACTCCAGCTGTGCACGGGGCCTGGCGTGGGGCTGGGCTGCAGCCAGGCGTGTTCCCGCACACCCTGAAGTCTGCAGAAGGGTGTGAGGGCCGCTCCCCTGCCGCTCCCCCGTGGGTCTGAGGCTTAAGGTCAGAGCCCGGCCCTCCCCTCATCCTGACCCTGTGGCCACGCGGCTGTCTGCAGACAAGGGACAGGGCTCCCAAGCTGAGTTTTAGGTTCTAAAGTTTTCTGGGATCTGTGATACCACTGCTGTGGCTTTCCCCTGTTCTCTGTGTGTGTGTATACGTGTACGTGTACACACACGTGCACGCAAGTCCTAGGGCTTCAACTCAGGACCTATCAAACTTGCTCAAGATTTTTCACTCATGGCTGGTACTCTACCGCTTGAGACACACCTCCAGCTTTTTGTGGGCTAACTGGAGATCTTTTTGTGCATGCTGGCATGCTGGTTTTGAACTACCAACCTCAAATCTCAGCCTCCTGAGTAGTTTGGACTCTAGGTGTGAAGATGTGCTTGCTCTGTCTCCTGAGTGAGTCTCTTCCGGCCATGACCCCTTTACCCACTGGGGGCCCCCTAGGATCCCTGGAGCACCTCCCATTTCTGAAGTCAATTCCCCTTGGGAATGGAAACATCTGTGACTTGGTGTCCAACAGCGGTGTTTGTCACAGCTGCACGAGGTCGGGCTGTCCCTCCCAGGGGAAGGAATATCCCTGGGGGATGTCTGGGGAAAGGGTTGGCCAGGTTCTTTTTTTTTTTTTTTTTGACTGGGGCTGGGGCTCAAACTCTGGGCCTGGGCGCTGTCCCTCAGCTCCTTTTTGCCGAAGGTGAGCGCTCTACCACTGGAGCCCCATTACCACTTCTGCCTTTTCCTGTGGTTAACTGGAGATCAGAGTCACACGGACTTCCTTTCCCGGGCTGGTTTTGAACAACAGGCAGTTCTCAGACCTCGATCTCCTGAGTGGCTGGGATTACAGGCGTGAGCCGGTGCCTGGCTTTGGCCAGGTTCTTGCACCTTGCTGGTCAAGGCACTTGAAGTCCCAGGCTGTGTCCATCTCCTGGTCACCTGGCCTGGCTGGGCTTGGCACCCACCTGGTGTGGTTGGCTGGCGGCTGCTCGGGGGCGCGCCGGGCCTCGGACCTGGCTATCCTGCTCCGAGTCCACGGCAGGGTTGTGTGTTGTCTCAGAAGGGCCATTCCCTGTGGGAAGTCTTATTCCATGCATCCGAACGAACGTAACCTGGTTAGTCAGCAAGCTGTGTCAGGCCTGGTTCGAGAGTGGCTGGGTGAGGGATGTTGTGTCCTCTTTGCTCCAGGGACATCCTGATCACCAGCGTGGGTGCCGCGACCACCTTCGGCGAGCTGTGCGCGGAAGTGCGGGACATGTGCGGCCTGCTCCCTCAGCACCCCCTCACCCTAAAGTGGGTGGACAATGAAGGTAGTGGCCTCGTCCCTAGTGGGGGTTCTGGGGTGGCTTAGCTGCTGGGACCGTGGGAGCGGCGGCTTCCCCGGCCCTCTGGAGGAGGACGTCCCTGCCCGGGCGGGACGCTGCTCCCAAGCACCGGGTGAGGCAGGCCCTTCCCTCACCGGCCTTCCTGGCGCCCAGCCTGGTTTTGTTTTGTTTTGTTTTTTTGGGTCTGGTCGTGGGGCCTGTACCCTGGGCCTGGGCGCTGTCCCTCAGCTCTTCAGCTCAAGGCTAGCGCTCTACCACTTGAGCCACAGCCCCACTTCCGGCTTTTTTCTTTTTGCTTATGTGGTGCTGAGGAATTGAACCCAGGGCCTCCTGCATGCAAGGCAAGTGCTCTACCACTGAGCCACCTTCCCAGCCCAACCCAGCCTGGTTTTGGAGGGACAGCTCTTCACCTCAGCCAGGCAGGAGACTCTCCTCCCTGGGGCTGACTGGCAGCTGGTAGTCAAGGGCATGGTGCAGGGAGCAGCGCAGGTGGCTGCTCTCATTCGGTGGCCATGCTGCCCTGTGGGGCTGGCTCCGTGTCCCCTGTCCTGTACTACCTAGAAGGCGGGGAGTCTCTTTCCCCCCTCCCCCCCCCGCAGCATGGGGGACCCCTCCACAAAGGACGGGCTTGGTCTCACTGCTCAGCAGGCTCCTGGGCTCAGGCCGCAGGTGAACGTGACTCTGGAGGTTTGTGCTCTGGGGAGACCCACTGGTCTGCATGGCTGTTCCGGGCCTCCAGTCATGAGCCGTGTGGCGTGCAGCAGGGGCGTGGTCTCACAGCCTGCCCTCAGTGCCATTCCCTTCCACCTAGGGGACCCCTGCACCGTGTCCTCCCAGATGGAGCTGGAGGAGGCCCTCCGCCTGGCCTGTCAGCACAAGGAAGACGGGCTCGTCATCCATGGTGAGTGCCAGCGGCCGGCCTCTCCACCTGCTCGTGGGCGCTGGGAACTGGGCACCCTCCTCTGTCAGACTCGCATGGAGGTTGTGCTTTAAAGCCCACCACATCGCGTTTAAGAACATGGATTACGGTACTGTTGGTGCCCGCTCTGCCCTCGGATGGAGCGTGGGTTCTGGCTGTGGATCACTTAGCCCTCATTTCCCAGGGACTGAGGTTGCGGGATTTCGGCCTCTTGCCGCCTGGATATGCCTTATGGGTCTCAGAGAGTGATCCTGAGGTGACCCCGAGTGCCCGGCTGGCTGCCCTCGCGGCCTCCTGGCCCCTCCACTGTGTGTGATGCTTTGTGTCGGACTCTGCATGCTCAGCCTGCCGGAGCTTTGTGTGTGGGTGTGGAGATGAACCCGGGGCTCGACCATGCTCAGCTCTCTCAGCTTTGTAAGCTCACAGCTGGTTGTGACTGGTAGGAGATTTTATTTTTGATCCTGCCCACCAACGCTGTGGGGTTCTAGGGAGTGTCTCTGGGGCTCAAGAGTGCATCAGCCAGTGTGGTCAGCTAGCCACATCTGTGTTCTCGCCCAGCTCTGTTTGGGGTCTTTTCCAGGGCTTTGGGTCCAGATCACTGAGACAAAGATGGGACTGCACCTCAATTATACAGATTTCTGTTGAAGCTTGCTTGCTTGCTTGCTTGCCTGCCTGCCTGCCTGCCTTCTTTCTCCTTTCCTCTTCCTCCTCCCCTTCTTCCTTTTCCTTTTTTTTTTTTGGCCAGTTTTGGGGCTTGAACTCAAGACCTGGGTGCTGTCCCTGAGTTTCTTTTGTCCAAGGCTAGTGCTCTACCACTCGAGCCACAGCGCCACTTCTGGCTTTTTCTGTGTATGTGGTGCTGAGGGAATGGAACCCAGGGCTTCATACATGCTAGGCGAGCTCTCTACCCTAAGCCACATTCCCAGCCCAAATCTCTTGTTTTCATTTACACTGGACTAGTTGGTTAAAATACTCACTTTCTTTGTTTGCATGTATGTATGCATGCATGTATGCATATATTTTTGTTGGTCGTGGGGCTTGAACTCTGGGCCTGGGCACTGTCCCTCAGCTCTTCAGCTCAAGACTAGCACTCTACCACTTGAGCTACAGCGCCACTTCCAGTTTTCTGGTGGCTTATTGGAGATAAGAATTTCATGGACTTTCCTGCCGGGGCTGGCTTTGAACCACAATCCGCCTGCTGAGCTTCTTTTGCTCAAGGCTAGCCCTATACCACTTGAGCCATGGCGCCACTTCTGGCTTTTTCTGTGAATGTGGTACTGAGGAATGGAACCCAGGGCTTCATGCACACCAGGTGTTCTACCACTGAGACCTGGTGAGACTTTTATCTTCAATTAATCAGCAAAAAGCAGCAAGTGGAGGTATGGCTCAGGTAGTAGAGTACCAGCCTTGGATGAAAAAGAGAAATGAGAGCACAAGGCCTTATGGCCAATTCTTACCTGTTTTCCTGTCCAGTTTTCCCTGAAACTTTTGGTTGATCTTACAAAGAGAATTTAGTACACTTAGCCTTGGGTTTCTGAGATTCAGTGGGTTGTATCCTGTGCATCTTCTGTACATCTGGTTGGATTCTATGGAGTTAGGAGGTAGTGGAGGGGTTCTGTGGGGTTTGTGCACAGGTAGTGGAGGGGTTCTGTGGGTTAGTAGAAACTAGAGGACGCTAACTTGCTCGCTTTCTCGTTTCCTCTCCCTGCAGTTTTCCCAAGTGCCCCTGAGCAGCCGGGCATGCCGTGCCCCGGAGAGGACAGTGAGTATAGCGTTTTGTTTAACAGGAGTCGTGGCGGGGGCTGGGTGGGGGGGTGGAACAGCTCTGTCTGAAGAGTCGATGGCTGTGACCCTTGCGTGGAGCATGTGCCCTGGAAAGAGTCTAAACTCGCCACCGGAGGACAGTTTTCTCTGTGGCCTGAGTCCTTCGTGGTGTCTGGGTCGTGGTCTGGTTGAGGGGCCATCCCGGTGGCCCGGGTCCTTCACGGCGTGTGTGTGGAGGTCTCGTTGAGAGGCCTCCGTGGAGGGCAGTGTGGTCAGGGGGTAGCAGGAGGCGTGTGGAGGAGGCGCCTTGGCCTCGTCTGGAAGGGCAGGGCCGTGAGCCCTGTGTCTGCCAGGCCTGGCCTCTGCCCCTCGCTGGCCATGCAGTGTCATGTCCCAGGGGCAGTGGCCTCCTGAGCGGCTCTGTTCTTAGCTGTGTCCTGGAGCTTGGTGGACAGCCGGGCTGGCGAGAGCAGACCTGAGGCTGTGGACGCCTGAGTGCGTGATCTGTGTGTAGTCCTGTCTCCAGGCGGTTAGAGCCAGCGCCGGCTACAGGGCTGTGGGCCAGGGGTGGAGCCTGAGAAGGCAGGGTTGAAGTGGCGGGGGGGGGGGGGGGGGGGGGGGGGGGGGGGGAGGGAGGGCATGTGCCCCTGTGCACAGGCCCCAGCCCCAGGCAGCCTCGGCGCTGGTGCTAGGCACGGCGGGCTGCTAGGTCCTTGTCCCCTCGGGGCTGCCTGGGTGGGAGGCTCCCCAGGGACCCTCCTTGTGTGGTGCCAAGGAAGCTGTGTGCACCGAGTGCCCTCCTTGAGCAATAGCAGGGTAAAGTAAGGCAGACACTGAGGAGCAAGAGGAAGCTGTTTGGTCTGAGACACTTCTTGACCCTCATGTTTCTGTCGGACGAGGGCCACTACCTGCGTGGGTTTCTTTTGAGTTAACGTGTGTTTGTGATGTACGGGGGACGTGGATGGATTCTGACAAGACTGACTGTCTGGCCACCTGCCTCTCTTGTTCCGGGCTGGTGCCGGGCACAGGTAGGAAGCCCGCAGCGTTAGTGCGTCTGTGCAGCTCTGCCCGGGGGGGCTGGGTCTCACCTTCCTCTCTGTGGAAGCCTGACCTGCCCGGCCTGCTGCAGGGGTGCTCTGCAGCTGGCAGGAGCGGCTGTGGGTGGGGTGTGGGTGGGATGTGGGCAGGCCCGTCCATGCGTGCGTGCTTAGTGCGGCTGAGCCCGGGGAGGACTGGCCGGGCATGTGAGCAGGTCCCCGGGTCCCACTGGGGATCCAGCCTCTTCAGCGACTCAGTTTTGCAGAAGCCAAGGATTGGGCTCTGGGGAGGTGTGAGGGAGCCTGAGACAGGGCCTCTCCTCTCCTCTGGGCCTCCCACCCAGCTTCTGTCCACTGGCCTGGATGGGTGAGGGCTCAGCGCAGCTTTGTCGTCTGGGTTGGAGAGCGCGGGGTCTCCAGCCCCTGCGTGTTGCCTTGAAGTGTAACTGCACTCCCTGCTCCACCCACCCTGCTCTCAGGGATCCCTGCGGTGGGCACCTGAGCACACTCTGCAGCTCCGTGTGGCTTTGCTGCCGGTGAGGTGTTTGTGCTGGCAGTCTTGCAGAGGGCCAGTGAGGAGGTGCTCCCTGTGAGGAGGTGCCCCCTGTGAGGAGGTGCTCCCTGTGAGGAGGTGCTCCCTGTGAGGAGATCCTCCCTGTGAGGAGGTGCTCCCTGTGAGGAGGTGCCCCCTGTGAGGAGGTGCCCCCTGTGAGGAGGTGCTCCCTGTGAGGAGATCCTCCCTGTGAGGAGGTGCCCCCTGTGAGGAGGTGCCCCCTGTGAGGAGGTGCTCCCTGTGAGGAGGTGCTCCCTGTGAGGAGGTGCTCCCTGTGAGGAGGTGCCCCCTGTGAGGAGGTGCCCCCTGTGAGGAGGTGCTCCCTGTGAGGAGGGTGTTCCCTGTGAGGGGGTGCTCCCTGTGAGGGGGGTGTTCCCTGTGAGCGGGTGCTCCCTGTGAGCGGGTGCTCCCTGTGAGGGGGTGCTCCCTGTGAGGAGGTGCTCCCTGTGAGGAGGTCCCCCCGGAAGGTCTGCCCTTGTTGGGGGAGACCGCGGGTACCTGGGCTGGCGGGGTCTGGCTGGCTGAGGTGGACAGGGAGAAGGGTGTGGTCCCACGCCGCGGGCTGGCGTCCGGCCGGAAGGGCTGTGTTGGGCTGTTGAGAGGCGGCCCTCTTGTTGTTCGGAGGCCGGTTTTCTTTGGTGGTGCGTCCTTCACTGCTGAGGAAGCCATTCGGTCACGGCTGTGTGTTCACGTCACTAGGTCAGCACCGGCTGCCCACGTCCATTCCGAAGGACGCCTATTGGAGTCCGCTTCCCCTTCCACCCTGCTGCCGACTTGCCTCTTGTGGGCGTTTGGAGCAGGTCCCGCGCTGGGCCCTTGGTGCCCATCTCTCACGCAGCTGCGTCTTCTCAGGCCACGGGCCGCACTTCATGACTGGTTTTCTGAGGTTTAAAACTTGGTAAAAACGTCCTTACAACATCTGCCATCTTTTTTCTTTTTGCGGTGGGGCTTTCCACGTCGCCCAGGCTGGCCTCCGACTCAGCATTTTCCTCAGTGCTGGTATTACAGGTGTGGACACCGTGCCTGGCCGATGTAACCCTTTTTAAATGCATAGTTGGGCCTTAATCAGTATTCCCACTGTTCTTTGTGTGTGTGTGTGCTTGTGTGCCAGTGCTGGGGCTTGAACTTGGCCTGAGCAGCGGTCCTGAGCTTTTGTGCTCAAGGTAGAGCCACTGGCCTACTGGAGCCACCGGCCTACTTCCAGCTTTTTGCTGGTTAATTAAGAAGCTAAGAGTCACAGACTTTTCTGCCCAAGCTGGCTTTGAACTGGGATCCTTAGAATGCAGCCTTCTGACTGACTGGTGCCTGCTTGTGCTTGGATTACTGTTAGCACCATGGGACCCTCCGTGTCATCTTCCCAGACTAAACCCGTGTTCATTGAGACGCTGGTGCCCACCCTCTGGTTCTCTTCCTTCTGCTGTCTGATCCTCAGCCTCAGCTGTGGACTTGTTTACTGTCGGTGACCGGCTCGCCTCCCGTGAGGCCCTCGGCGCCGTGCTGAAAGGCCGTGTGAAGGCCCCGCGGTGCTCTGTCTTGTCACCGTCCACGAGCACTGGGCTAGCTTCCATGTTAGCGGCTGTGGACGTGTGTCAGATCTCTGCTGCGTCCTGCGTTCGATTCCCACCCAGACCTAGGATTGCTGGGACATTTGTGGTCTGGTAATTTTTGGAGAGCTTCCATATTACGCCTTACAGATTGCCCTCGTATGGAAGGGGGCAGAGGCATGTAGGAGGGGCTGGGGCCTGCTTGGCGCTCCTGGAGGCTGGGCTCAGTACCCAGTGGATGGTCAGTGCTCAGGGAGGCCGGTGGGTGGTCAGTGCTCAGGGAGGCCGGTGGGTGGTCAGTGCTCAGGGAGGCCAGTGAGTGGTCACTCTATCTGAAATCCTTTTTTTTTTTTAAGTTTTTTTTTGGTCTGGCCGTGGGGCCTGAACTCTGGGCCTGGGCGCTGTTCCTCAGCTCTTCAGCTCAAGACTAGCACTCTAGCACTGGAGCTACAGCTCCACTTCTGGCTTTTTCTGCTTATGTGGTGCTGAGGAATCGAACCCAGGGCCTCAGGCATGCAAGGCAAGTGCTCTACCACTGAGCCACCTTCCCAGCCCCTGAAATCCTTCTGTGGGCTGAGACCACGCGAGCTGAGCTGGCTGGGCTGGTGTCTTGGCTGGCTGGGTGCTAGGCTGGGCATCTATGGCTGGACCAGTGCTGTCTGTGCGGGAGCCTGTCGGGTAAGCGTTACTGGGGAATCCTTTCCAACCAGCTTAACCGTGAGTCCCTTGTGTTTATAGGTATGTCCATTGTTTTGTTAAAAATACATTTTCATTCAGCTTTGCCTCATTATTTGCAACAAACTAGAAAAGCTACTTTCCTACCTAAATTAGGCTTCCGACAAAATTAGCAGTCTGCCAGTGCAGCCACGTGTTCTAGGGTTCTGTGAAGCCGGGTGTTTTAGGGTGGATTGAAGAGAGAAGCTGGCTGAAGGGCAGTGGTGGGGACGGACGCTCGCCGCCTGGGTGTTTCCACACGAGGCCCAGGAAAGCCGTGCCTGCCGTGAACGCAGTGTCGCTCCGACGGGTCATTGGTTTGTGATTTTATAGTCTTGGTCAGAGGCCTTCAGCCCTTTTCGCTCCATTGTCACCCCTGGCCACTGGATGTTGATTAAATCTTGGTGATTGTGCGGCCAGGGCTCATAAAACTTACTGTGGACATTGAAATTTTTATTTTTTATTTTAATTTTTAATTTTAATTTATTTCTTTGCTGGTCATGGGGCTTGAACTCTGGGCCTGGGTGCTGTCCCTCGACTCTTCAGCTCAAGGCTAGCACTCTACCACTTGAGCCACAGCGCCACTTCTGGCTTTTTCTGTTTATGTGGTGCTGAGGAATTGAACTCAGGGCCTCATGCATGTGAGGCAAGCACTCTACCACTGAGCCACCTTCCCAGTCCCTGTATTATTATTATTATTATTATTTGTCAGTCGTGGGACTTGAACTCTGGGCCTGGGCGCTGTCCCTCAGCTCTTCAGCTAAAGGCAAGCGCTCTACCACTTAAACCACAGCACCACTTCCGGTTTTCTAGTGGTTTATTGGAGATAGGAGTCTCATGGTCTTTCCTGCCTGGGCTGGCTTTGAACCATGATCCTCAGATCTCAGCCTCCTGAGTAGCTAGGATGACAGGTGTGAGCCATCGGCGCCCAGCCCCTGTATTATTTTTATAGTTAATTTTATTGCCAAGGTAATATACAGAGGGGTTACAGTTATATACGTAAAGTCTTTAAAATTCATTTTTTATTGGCTCCATCTATACCAACTACATGCTGATTTCCTCTAAATATTAATGCATTAGCAAATTTATATCTCTGTATTACTAAGCACAATGAAAGCATCAGTGACATAATTATGGCCAACACCTTTTA